TGAATCATACAGTACTGTGTTAACGAAACTGCATAAACCCGAGTGTGGATTAATTCCTTGGTAGTTTAATTTTGGTCTTACCAAAGTAGTTGTGCTGGTTAATGAGCCGGTGATGAAGTATTACCATCTCTTCAAATAATGGACAGGTTTCCACCTTTCTTAGATATTTAATTTAATTAATTGTATTTTCTTGCGGTTGTTAAATTACACCGGTTGAGAACTACCACGGTGTTTCAGTCATTAGTTTCTAAGGTAATCTATTTTATATACAGTTTGCAATTTCCTCAGCCTGGCAGAGTTGGGAGACAAAATTGAATGGTTATAAACAACTGGTAATAGTAACAGCGCATGCACATATACAGACACAGGTAACACCGCGTGCAGTCATACAGGCAATGGTAACACCACATACAGGCAATGGTAACACCACATACAGGCAATGGTAACACCGCATACAGGCACAAGTAACACCGCATACAGGCACAAGTAACACCGCATAGTCATGCAGGCACAGATAACATCACATATAGACTTTGGCTGTGACAGTCCCCACCCTCTCCCACAGCTACCAGTCACCCTGTAAAGTTTAATGAGTCTAGCGTCTGTCTAACCTAAGACAAACAAACAGGCATTCTGTTTTATACATACTGTGTGGATATAAGGTGCACAGATAAATTAATATCAAGCAACATCCCATCCATTGGGGTCTTTTTATGGGCATTTGTGTCCTCTGTAATCCTTTTTGCACTACCGTTCACAGAAGGAATGTGGAATGCACAATAAACTACTGCTCATAGGATAAGTATGGAGTTTACAATAAACTAACACAGGATGAATAGAGTGCACAATAAACCACCGCTCACAGGGTGATATTGATGCTCTGTCCACAGAGCATTCTCTTTCTCTCAAATCATGTACACTGATGGTTCCCTACACCGCCCCACGGGTGCAGCTGGAAGTGCAGTTGTTCCGACAATGGGTGATGGCTTATATTTTGAGTGGGGAGTCCGTATAAACAACTGGGCCTCTACCCTTCAGACCGAACTATTTGCCTTGCTCCTTGCACTGAAATGCGAACGTCTCCAAACTTGATACAATAATTGTAAGTGATTCCTTATCATCCTTAATTGCTCTCAACTCTTTAAGACATAACTGTAACATGCTCGTGTCCGCGGCTAGACACAAATACAACAAAATTATTAAGGATGGTAACAGAGTCCATTTCATGTGGTCTCCATCTCATGTTGGCCTCCGAATGCATGATAAAGCTGATAAGTTAGCCAAAGAATCTGCTTTAAAGGAGCCTTGTAACCTTGGATTGTCAAGGAGCAATCTGAGAGCAGCAGTACACCGGGAACATCAACAAGATCTTGTAGATCTGAGGCAAAGTGAAATTGACACCAGTAATTCCATCTATCATCATACTATCATGCAAGAGGAGCCACACATCTATGGTTCATCCAATAAAATCAGCAGACTTCTAGATGTTGCTACTGCTCGGCTTAGACTCGGTTACAAGTATCTCTGGGAATTCTCATTATCTGCTGATGTAGACCTGACCAAATGTAAACTGTGTCAACAAAATTATTCGCACACCCTCCGTCACTATGTGATGGAGTGCGAAAAGATACGTGAATTTAGAGACAATTCTATAACCAATGTTCCAACGATGTGTAAATATTTCATTCAAAATGATCTGCTACCAGAAATTTTAGCCAAATATTCCCAGTTTGACACTAGCTCTCCACATATGTCAGTTGCTTAATTTAGAAACTGTACTTGTGGTCGATCTCGAACCCATTGTTGATGTGACGACTTATACTGAATTTTGTAACTAGCTCATCAAGATTGTAACTTGCTTAGCTAAATGAATTGTGGGGTTCAGTCCCTGAGCCCATTATGTGCCTCTGTAACCCTTTCCACTACCGCCCACAAGATGGGTATGGGAGTGCATTATAAATGAACTAAACTAACTCACAGGATGAGTGTGGGTGCACAATAAACCACTGCTCACAGGATGAGTGTGGGTGCACAATAAACCACTGCTCACAGGATGAGTGTGGGTGCACAATAAACCACTGCTCACAGGATGAGTGTGGGTGCACAATAAACCACTGCTCACAGGATGAGTGTGGGTGCACAATAAACCACTGCTCACAGGATGAGTGTGGGTGCACAATAAACCACTGCTCACAGGATGAGTGTGGGTGCACAATAAACCACTGCTCACAGGATGAGTGTGGGTGCACAATAAACCACTGCTCACAGGATGAGTGTGGGTGCACAATAAACCACTGCTCACAGGATGAGTGTGGGTGCACAATAAACCACCACTCACAGGATGCAGGACTGAAGTAAACTGTGTGTGTATGCACTGGCCCTTTGCTGAGATCTGCAAGGTGACTCAGTAGCAAATAAATACTCATGACACCTCAATATTGCCACACAATGAATGTCTATGTAATGCCGGCATATGGTCTGGAAAAAATGCTTAGATTAGATAAGATATATACCATTAACCTTGCTCCATCTTTTACGCGAGTCTCTATAAAGACCGTCCTAACGCAGCAACTGCAAAAATATTGAGGAAAAACTCTAAATGTTGTTGTAATCTCGGCCGCATCAAATTTCGTCCTCATTTGGTCCCGCCGTATTGGTTTCTGATGACCAGATTTACATATGGAGCTCCAGTCTGCGTCTTCGAAGTCATAAATTCACACGCCATAGCCTCCAGCTTCAATTTATATTTTTCGTGGTATTTCACTATTTCTATTTCTATTAAAACAAGCCTAGTCAAAATAGGGAAGGCGATGCCAGAGTCAGGAGGAGAGATCCGGATACATTAATCACAACAAACGAGGACACCTGACAGTGTTACCAAGATCCACCACAACACCTCCCTCCCCCACACCCCAACCGCTGGCTGATTTTTAAAATTAACACATTTAACAGCTTGCTACTTTCATAGCTGTTGTTTATACCTTCCAGGGACCCAATTTATACATTCCTGGGTCCCGGCTGGGCAATATGAATGCGGACAACTGGCTGGAGACGCAGTGGCAACGCTAGTGACAACGTGTTCGGACGTTCCGCTGTAACATCTGGCATTATGGGGATTTTTTTCGTGTTATATAGTTATTATTATTATTACTACGTGTATAAGGATAAGGTTGCTTTATATAAAGTGGTGTTTTGAGTGGACACGAAAAGGGGAGAGCAGGAAATGTGCTACATGGTACCATGAGATGATACATAGTATCTCGTTGTATGTAGTAGCGGATGCTAGGATGTGGGCGTGAACATTGGTCTACCTAGAAACACCTCTCTCTCTCCCTTCCCTCCCATTCCTCTCAATTCCCTTATATTTTCTCTCCCATTCCATTCCTTTCCATTTACTCTCCCCTACCCTCTCTCAAAGTAATCCCCGCCCACACACCTCTCTCGCACTCTCTACCCTCACGTCCAAATCTAACATTTCTTTTCTTTACTTGTACCTCTATAGCCTCTTCTTTATTCCACTTTGCACCCACATATATATATTTATATATATATAAGGGTTGGTAACTGTTAATATCCTTGTCTGACAGTGTTCACTTGAGACATTTAAGTGAGTCTCAGCTGCGTCTGGGTACAAGTGACGGGATGAACAATACAGCTTTCACAAAATGCATATATATAAGAACACTGAAACAATTCCGACATTTGTTTAAACCCAAATAAACATAATAAGATAATTAACGGAAGGATAAGGTTATGATGCTGCCCTGGACAGAACGTTAGAGACACCAACCACTGGAACATTATCAAACACAGTGCACAGTTACAAACTCATTAAGATTTCAACTTAGATTCAACAGAGAAGAAGTTGTTTAACACATTTGGCAAAATCTTACTGAAGCGACCATACGAGTCATAAATACTCATACTCCGCCCAAGTAAAACAGAAACAAGCAACACTTAGTGGGCCAGCCAGAGGCTTAGGGCCCACGCAGGAATATCCCTGCAAAAAAAAAAAAGAAAAAAAAAAGTTAGAAACATTTACCGAAGATCACTGTTATAAGGGGGGTGGACTGGAAGATGCTCCACACTAGAGGGACTGGAGGATGCTCCACACTATTGATGGATGCCTCACATTAAGCTAATGCCGTGTGCTCGTGTTGGTGTATTGTCATTACCAGGAAGTGGACCCGTCTGGAAGCAAGTGCATTGGCTTGATTGTGTGCGGAGTGGACGGTGTTGATGTATTGGTCGGCGACCATGCTGGTGTGGCGTGAGGACGGCCGGCCTCCCTGCCAGGTGAGGCTGACGGACCGGCTGGAATACGCACGGAAAGGGAGTTAGGGCGATGCACGATGTGTTCGTATTGAGCTGACTAAGGGTGGCTTGGAGACTGTACGCTCCGGTAATCCCGAGGTAGCCCCCGAACCTTTCTTGATCATTGTTTTGCTGAAAAAATGAGGCATATTTTAGTACTGAATAACATTTTGTTATGTATATTTATAACAGAGAATGTCTGTTTGTCTAAGGTTGGTGGTCAGACGTGTAGGGTTAGCCTTACTCAACTTTGCAGGGGTATTGGTCTGGGGTATGGGACGGACATGGGCTGGTCAGGGCCGGCCTAAGTTTAATGCTTTAAGAAATATCAGCATTTATAGAGACCGCCAGGCGTTTTTCATGGAGTCACGTATAAAGCTTTTCGTGTTCTGTAGTGATATATTATCTAAGAGACCAATACCTTTGTTTCAGTGTTAATACATTTTCTGATAGAAGGGAAACGGAGGAAGGAGGAGGGGGAGGACGAGGGTGGGGGACACGGAGTTAAAGAGGGGGAAAGGGCGGAAAAAATGGGAAGAGACCTGGGTGCCGCCGGTTATCCCCTTCTGTGTATGCGAATAGAAATGCTTGTCCGAGATTGGCAGGCAAACGGAGGAGGAGAATAGGAGGGAGATGAGGGAGGGTAGGAAGATGGGGTGAGAGGGTAGAGGGGAGGGGAGGGAGAAATGGGAGGGGGAGAGAAGGAAAATGGAGGAGATGGTAAGGAAAAGGGAGAGAAAGAGAAGCGGGAAAAGTGAGAGGGAAGAGGGGGGGGTGGAACGAGGGGAGGGGGGGGTGGAACGAGGGGAGGGGGGGTAGACTACCCCAGGCACCCCCCCCCCCCGCACTATATAATAATACTATGGCTATTAACTTTAAATATTGTTCCCTAATTATTAGGAATTAAGTACATGTGGGGAAACACTATTTTAATCCTTGGGGGCACTATTGATCCGTGGGGACACTATTGGTCCTGGGGAACACAGGGACAACACTATTGATCCTGGGGAACACAGGGACAACACTATTGATCCTGGGGAACACAGGGACAACACTATTGGTCCTGGGGAACACAGGGACAACACTATTGATCCTGGGGAACACAGGGACAACACTATTGATCCTGGAAAACACAGGGACAACACTATTGATCCTGGGGAACACAGGGACAACACTATTGATCCTGGGGAACACAGGGACAACACTATTGATCCTGGGGAACACAGGGACAACACTATTGATCCTGGGAAACACAGGGACAACACTATTGATCCTGGGGAACACAGGGACAACACTATTGATCCTGGGGAACACAGGGACAACACTATTGATCCTGGGGAACACAGGGACAACACTATTGATCCTGGGGAACACAGGGACAACACTATTGATCCTGGGGAACACAGGGACAACACTATTGATCCTGGGGAACACAGGGACAACACTATTGATCCTGGGGAACACAGGGGACAACACTATTGATCCTGGGGAACACAGGGGACAACACTATTGATCCTGGGGAACACAGGGGACAACACTATTGATCCTGGAAACACAGGGACAACACTATTGATCCTGGGAACACTATTGATCCTTGGGAACACAGGGAGAACACTATTGATCCTGGGGGACACTATTGATCCCTGGGAACACTATTGAACCCTGGGAACACTATTGATCCTTGGGGACACTATTGATCCCTGGGAACACTACTGATCCTGGGGAACACTATTGATCCTGGAGAACACTATTGATCTTTGGGAACACAGGAGCAACACTATTGATCCTTGAAGACAAAGGGGGCAACATTATTGATCCTGGGGGAACACAAGGGCAGCTCTATTGATCCTGGGGAACACTATTGATCCTGGAGGACATTAATACACTAGCAACAACAATACATGAAAATCTAATTATTGTTTTAATTGCTGTAGATAATTGGATGGTGGGCCGGACCCAGTACCAGGTAATGACCTGGTTAAATAGCCCCCGAGAAGGGCTGTTAATAACAGTAATTGTATCAGTGGGTCATCTGCTCGTAACGATCAGTTGCGCCGGTGATAACCCCTCGGGCTCGTGTCCACGCTGAGTGCTCGCACTATTGACAGTTGTGGCACTCATCATGTCAAGTGTCGCACTCAACATGACGAGTGAGGCACTCACCATGTGTTATGGCACTCGGTATGGGAGTTATCTCACTCAACATTTGAGTTATGGCACTCAATATGGGAGTAATCTCATTCAGTATTTGAGTTATGGCACTCAATATGGGACTAATCTCACTCAACATGTTATCGCATTCAACATGTGAGTTAATATTGAACATGGCGAGATATCACACTCAACAAGTGTTGTTGCACTCAACACATGAGTTACTGCACGCCGCCCAGTACTCTTTCAGTGACAGTAAGTCACTCACAGGATGAGTGAGGCTGCTTAATAAAAGTCTCCCTTCGGTAAATTATTTTTATTTACACATTTAGGTAAAAAAAAAATTAAATTTTGCCCCGAGGGGCGAGTTTATTGGGCAGCGTCACTCATCCTGTGAGTGGACACACCGCCATAGTGACAGTATTGGACAGCGCCACTCATCCTGTGAGTGGACACACCGCCATAGTGACAGTATTGGGCAGCGCCACTCATCCTGTGAGTGGACACACCGCCATAGTGACAGTATTGGGCAGCGCCACTCATCCTGTGAGTGGACACACCGCCATAGTGACAGTATTGGGCAGCGTCACTCATCCTGTGAGTGGACACACCGCCATAGTGACAGTATTGGGCAGCGTCACTCATCCTGTGAGTGGACACACCGCCATAGTGACAGTATTGGGCAGCGTCACTCATCCTGTGAGTGGACACACCGCCATAGTGACAGTATTGGGCAGCGCCACTCATCCTGTGAGTGGACACACCGCCATAGTGACAGTATTGGGCAGCGTCACTCATCCTGTGACTGGACACACCGCCATAGTGACAGTATTGGGCAGCGTCACTCATCCTGTGACTGGACACACCACCATAGTGACAGTATTGGGCAGCGCCACTCATCCTGTGAGTGGACACACCGCCATAGTGACAGTATTGGGCAGCGCCACTCATCCTGTGAGTGGACACACCGCCATAGTGACAGTATTGGGCAGCGTCACTCATCCTGTGAGTGGACACACCGCCATAGTGACAGTATTGGGCAGCGTCACTCATCCTGTGAGTGGACACACCGCCATAGTGACAGTATTGGGCAGCGCCACTCATCCTGTGAGTGGACACACCGCCATAGTGACAGTATTGGGCAGCGCCACTCATCCTGTGAGTGGACACACCGCCATAGTGACAGTATTGGGCAGCGTCACTCATCCTGTGAGTGGACACACCGCCATAGTGACAGTATTGGGCAGCGTCACTCATCCTGTGAGTGGACACACCGCCATAGTGACAGTATTGGGCAGCGTCACTCATCCTGTGAGTGGACACACCGCCATAGTGACAGTATTGGGCAGCGTCACTCATCCTGTGAGTGGACACACCGCCATAGTGACAGTATTGGGCAGCGCCACTCATCCTGTGAGTGAACACACCGCCATAGTGACAGTATTGGGCAGCGTCACTCATCCTGTGAGTGAACACACCGCCATAGTGACAGTATTGGGCAGCGTCACTCATCTTGTGAGTGGACACACCGCCATAGTGACAGTATTGGGCAGCGTCACTCATCCTGTGAGTGGACACACCGCCATAGTGACAGTATTGGGCAGCGTCACTCATCCTGTGAGTGAACACACCGCCATAGTGACAGTATTGGGCAGCGTCACTCATCTTGTGAGTGGACACACCGCCATAGTGACAGTATTGGGCAGCGTCACTCATCCTGTGAGTGGACACACCGCCATAGCAGCATGTACAACACTCCCCAATAGGAAGAAAACCCGCTAGGTTGTTCATCTTGTACATGTGCATTTGTGCAGCTACCCTTGAGTATAGAGTCCCACAGTCTGAAGGAATCATACTTTATTTTGTTATCCTGGTGCTTTCAGGCCTTTGGGAGTCAGTAATTTACCTTTTATTAGACCTGAGAGATTTGGGATACCTACGACTAATTTCAACTTCATCATTGTTGCACGCTAATTTGGCAACAATGTCTGTGTCATTATGATGGGTTATATTTATGTGATATGGCATGCATACAAGAGAGTGCGCAGCGAGGAGTTTATATATATATTTGTAATTGATATCATAAGCTTCCTACTATCGATCTTGCATGGGAGGTTTCCAAAGTGCTTGATCAGCAGCAGACTTTGAATCACAAAATATTATTCCTCTTGCTGTATGGCAAGATGAAATTAAGTGTATGTTATCAACATTTATCCCAGTTATACTTTTTAACACCAGTAATTATTACTTCCTTCGTCGTTATCATCATAATTTCCTCAGTCTACCTTCATCGTCCCCCCCCCTTCTCCCCCCACCTCCCCCTCTTCTCTCATACTTATCGGTTAGTCTTGCCACGTCATCTATTCGACTACTCTCGCATTCTTAACACCGAGTGCGCGTAGCTTTTTTTCAGTACCCTTCGATCGATTTAATATTTATGTAGCCAAGACGGACTGAACGTGAGTGTAATGCTTATAGCTCACGGAACTGCCAGCTTGCTTCTTGGCATTCTATTAGATTTCGGCTAAAATGCCTATTTTTGAACCAAGATGCTTTTCTTCTTGAAACAAATGGCCATTATGGAACATGATGGGAACTGTTTACATGCTCACGAACGCAAATAAGTTTGTGGGATAAAAAGTTGGTCTGTGGTTCGACATCTTTCTTGGTCTACGATATTTTTTTTTTAAATCGCAAAGGAATTATTTATTGTCTATGTAGTGTTACGTTACAAACAGTCACATACAAGATGATAACAGCGTCTGGGTTATACTATGAAGCCGGTGTGAATATTAAGGTGATCACGACACAATTAAGAGATAATCACATATTGAGCAATACAAGCCTACTGAGAAGGGTGTGCGGGTACGATGAGTTCGCTCCTTGCATGTCTGTGTGCATGTAAACAGAAAACAATTAAAATTGTTACACTACGAGCCAAAGATTTAAAAAAAAGTAGCTTTTGAGTAAAATATTTACTCATGTGGATAATCCTCTATTGCATATGCTATTAGTTTTAAGTATAGAAAGTTTTTTTTATATAAAACAAAACCACTCCAGTTGGCACAATTTCGTTGACGTTGCATGATGTACAATGACAGTCACGCACTAAGGGATGCCCCGCAGGGTTGCCGGGCGTCACTACATAAAGATTTATCCTTCATAATAAAATCAACTCTGAGTGTACTTTTGTTCCGTACTGGAGTGTTCTACTAATTAATGTTACCATTTAAATCATATGCTAAGTATTTTATATGTTGTCTAAATATGTCAGAGTGAGATATGCACTACTGTACACCGGTCAGGTCAGCCAGAATTGTTGTCATTGTGTAATTTGTTATTAATAAAGCTTCTGATTCTGATAACCTGCTGGGCTTCATAGTTCTTAAACCCAACTAAACCCAACACCACACTAAACCCAGTATTTCACCAAACCCAACACCACCCCTAAACCCAGTACCACACCAAATCCAGTATTACATCAAAACCCAACACCACACCAATTCGCAAAATAATCCTAATGATATTTTCCAAAAACCTTTTAAGGCGAACTAAAGCGAGGGCGCACCTCGCTCTCACACACCATCATGACTTTTTATTGTAGTCATTTATTATCGAGGATAATAACCAATTACTTATACAACAACCATAAGGCCAGCTGCAGCTGTCTGCACACTCTCCCAATATGTCTTAACTCTCACGTCTCAGATAACACTCTCCTTACTTTACCTGTTATTTATTGCAATATTGTTTTGTTTGTATATATAATCTGTGTTAAGTTACTGTCATGAGTTCGGTCCCACGGCAGGACAGAAACGTTTGGGCAACCTTTTCTTTCATTTGTTACCCCTGTTCACTTAGCAATAAGAAGTTACCCAGAGGTTAGACAACTGTTGTAGATTCCATTCTGGGGATGGTCGGTTATCGGCCTCGTAGGTGTGATAGAGAAAATTGGTCAGTCATTATCTTAAACAACCTGCAAGCACAAATATGTGAATACATTACACATTTTCACAGGTAAAGGTAAACAGACTGCATATTTATGGACTGCCAGAAGGCTTTGACACAGTACCCCACAAGAGAGTAGTGTACGTGTTGGAGAAGCTGACAGGCGTGATAAGGATAAGGCTCCGGGGGATAAGGAGCACGGCAGCAACACAAGACGGAAAGTAACAGTAAGACAGTATCAGGCTGGCGAAGGGAAGGGTACTATGAGGAGAAATCGTCAACCCATTAAAACTATACAGCACTTGGAAGGGGTCAGGAAACAGATTTGGGATGGGACGGGGAGGGGGGAAGGGAATGGTGCCCAACCACTTGGACGGTCGGGG